TATAAAATGATTTGGTTCCATTAAATTTTATTCGTACAAGCGGATTATTCGATTCTCCGATATGCGATTAAGTGGGAACGACTGTATCATTTACTCATTATCAACATTACTAATATTTAATTATGTGATTGGAAGATAAAAATCCTCAAGTGAAGCATGGAATAGTTATCTACAACAATTAACAAATCCTTCTTTAAGTAAAGTCTGAATATTATCAGGGGTCTGCCCCGACATTTTGTGAAAGGTTCGGTTTTTGTGAAATTGTGAAAAATTACTCACATTCTTTCAACCAGGGTCCTGCTTTTATGAACTTGTGCAAATAGGGTCTGGTAATTGCAAAAAACTTTTTCAAGGAGTTTTTAAATTGTAAATAGATACAAGATTATGCTCAGCACTGTAAAATTATAATAAAACAAATAAAATTTTCAAAAATAAACAGCAATTGCTGCTTCTAAATTAGAGATGCAACATACAAATATTTGGTATTTAGCCTATACTGCTAAACGCAGAATATTCATTTCGGACCAATAATGGAAAAATCGTCTGCGGAAGACAAAACTTAATTTGTTTACTTCCATCTTTCTTGTTTTCTGTCCTGGGAAGGGTTTATACAATTAACAAATCAATAATGAAGATAAACAAATTTGTGAAGGGTCCAATTGAAGGAAAAATCATTTTGTATAGGGTCTATTCTTATGTTAAAATATTTTGTGAAGGGTCAGTTAACGGACCCAAATTTCTTCTACACCCTTGTGCAAATTAATTGAAACAAACTCAATAAATTCAGAAAACTAAGAGAAAATGCTATTTTATTTAAATTTATACAAACTCAAAAATTTTTAGTACATAATATGATCTCCACGACACTTTATTAACATTTGGACACGATTCGGCATGGATTCCACAAATTTTTTACAGTCATTTATAATATTTGTGTCCTTGTACCACACATGAATTAACGCCGTGATTAGCTTCTCCATAGTTGTACAGTCCATATTTAATAGGCGATTCTTGCATATGGCCCAGAGATTCTCAATTGGGTTGATATCCGGAGAGTTCCCTGGCCATTCCAATGTCTCAATTTGATTCTCAGACATAAATTTCTTGGCAATTTTGGACGTACGGCAAGGAGCTAAATCCTGTTGAAAAATCCCTGTTCCATTAGGGTATCGTTTCTTCAACTCTGGAACAACTTTTTTACCCAGAATAGTAATGTACTGCTCAGAACGCATCATACCATCAATAGGCTGCAAAGGTCCAACTCCATTGTAACCGAAACAACCCCAAAACATCTTCTTTAAAAAACACGAAAAAAAAGTTTGTTTCAATTAATTTGCACAAGGGTGTAAACACACCCTTGATTATTCAGTGAAATTGTTTCAAATTTTATTGCAAACATCATTAGGGTTGATCCTATCATAAACTTTAAGCAAATTTCTTGCATAAAAATTACAGCCACTTTAGCAAAGGGCAAGCAAATTCAACTATTTCCTTTTTCTATGAATACTTTAGGTGGTGGAAAAATTTTTTCAATAAAAAATAGTTAAACATACTTGGGCAAGGCTTACGGAATAGTACCATCTTAGTAAAAGATGATTAAGTTCATTTCTTGATGTTCTAGGAATTCAGTTTTGGCTTTATACAGTGCAAAAAAAAAAAAAAAACTTTTAATTTAATTAATGCAAAATAGAATTAAGTCAGTATTAGGAAAAGTAATGCTTACATTGTTTTGGACTAGCTAAAGCTGCCAGTATTAATTATTCCTCACAGCAATACCAATTGTGAGAGCATTTAATAGCTTAATAAAAATCCAGACTTAATTCTGAGAAAAACAAACTCTGGTGAATTTCCTGGCTGAAAAGGCTAATTAGAGAGTTTCAGAAAATCTTTTATCTAATATTTCTGTATAACAGTAGGCAAATTCAGTACTTCATTATTTTTAAGTGTAAAAAAAAGTTTCTTTAATTTAAAGAATATGTAAATACTATTTCTTTTCCCTAAAGATGATAAAACAACATCTACATTTTTCATCCTCTCTCCCCCCACTCATTGCTCATTTTCTCCCATTCCTTGCTCAACTTATAATAAATTTGTATTTTGATTTGAAGTTTTCTATGGGAAAAAAATTGCTAAGATTTGCCTTTAGCTAATATTTTGGCAGAAAGTTATAACACGACTAAATTCGCAAAACTGATTGCTATCTAGTATTGTATTACAAAAGAAAATATGTCAATATAATAGTGGGAGGAGCTCCAAAAAAATCTAAATGAAAATGAAACATATCAAGCAAAAAACACAACAAATGAAAAAAGCAATAATTAAGGAAAAATACAGGATAAAACACAAAATGTAGCATATAAGGCAAGTAAAGAAATCAAGTGTCCATTTACTTACTGACATCTTGCAAAATTGATTTAAAAAGGTTTTCGTAGCAGTTTGTCAGAATACAAAATATGAAATTAAAACGTAAATAGAGGATGGAGTGATATATTTTATATACTTAATTTGCAGTTCTTATTGAAGTCCAGATCCACAACTAATTTGTAAGTTACTTTGATTGCCCCAAAACTGTATTTGCGTTAGGTAATTTCATTGTACTGGATAATTCAAAGCTTATAATTAATAAAAGGTCAAATTTTAGTTTTGGCAATTTTTAGAGAGTTATTAATATTTATTGAAAAAATCCTTTATTAAATTTTAGAAGATTTTTAGCTATGGATTTTCCCTAATTAGATTTTCTCGTGATAAAAATATCAATTTAGATAACAAAAAAAATTTTTTATTCGCAAATTCATTTAAAATTATAACACACAATTAACTTAGTTATTTTATATAGAATTTAATTAGATTAATTGGATATCCATTGTTTTTAATCAAATTTTGAAAAAATTAGTCTATTTGTTTTTGGAATAAATAAGCATAACTGCAAATTCTTTTAATTCTATTTATTTGATTAAAAACAGTATTTAAATAAATGTTTTTTGAAACATTAGAATTCCATGTAATTAGTTTATCTATATTAAATTTGAAATCATTCCTTTTTTGTATAAGTAAAGCAATGCAAGAATATTTAAATCTAAAAAATTTATATTATCACATGGTTTCCATGCAGAATTAATTCTTCAGGGTAAAAATTATTGAAAAAATTGTATAATATTGAAAATTAAAAATAATTTAATCATCAATCAATCTAAAAACAAATTGAATATTAAGAGTAATGTTCTTTTCAAAGAAGTGTAAAAATAAATTAGCTAGAAGTGACAAAATATTAGATCCTTGTCGTTTTCCATCTATGTAATCAAAAAAATATTTTCCATAGTAAATATAATTATTAAAAATACAGATATTAATTAGAATTTCCCAATAATCAAAATCTCAATTAAAGATATTTTTATAGTTATAAAAATTTCTCAGAAGAATATTTTTTAGTTTAGAAAGGGGAATGCTAATGAAGAAATCTTGGAAATCAAATGTTGCTGTAGAATTAATTTTATTTTGTTTAATAATTCTAAAATAGGTTGATGCTAATAATTTTATTTAGTAATTAGAGAAAATAGTGCTAGGTTTAATTAAGTAAGTTAGGCCCACAAGTGATTGCTCAAGATTTAATAAGAATTTTATAAAATATTGGACTGATAGTTAATTTTAATTTTTAACCTCGTATGGAAGGCTAAAAAGTTTTAATTGATAATATTATTATTGAAATTACTTAGCTTGCAATTTTTTTTCTATTTATTAATTCCTTATTTAAAATTTCAACATAGAATTTTTTACAGAAGATAGCATTATTATTGTTAGCTTTGTCAATTACGGGTAAATTACAGAATGTTTTGATAATAAATAGCCCATTTCCATTCTGTTACATACCGAAAGGTGAGATCTTTAGATTAAAATTATTTAGTTCATTTAGAAAGCATTTTAGATTTTTGTTAATAGATCTATGGTAAATGTGTCTAAATTTTGTGCCTTTTAACATTATATTTCTTAATTCTAAATTTTCTATAATATTTAAATTACCAATAATAATGCTTTTCACTGTTTTCTTTTTCAGGCTATATTCATTTTCTTAAACTTGCATTTCGAGTTATGTCTATTTTCTTTAACACACATCCTGAGCCGTGTCAATTTTTTTAAACACTTCCCTAGCAGTAAAATAACTTGGCACCCTCATTGGACCAATATTCACGAATCTTGGCCCTATAGCAGTTCAAAGGGCCGATATTTTTCTGAGGTGGATACTATATGGAATTGTCCGATTCACCCGATATTTTACTGCCACTTTACAACCAATATTGGCCTCATATAGAATTGTCCAATACACCCGATATTTTACTGCCACTTTACAACCAATATTGGCCTCGTATAGAATTGTCAGATTCACCTGATATTTTATAATCATTATTCAGCCAATATAGGCCGATATTAACACTGCATAGGTATAACATTAAGAAATTTAAATATCCCAATATTGGTTCCTCAGAGCATGTTCATATAGGACCCATATTGAGCCAATGTTGAGCCCAACTGGGACCAAGGTATAATTGTTGCTAGGGTTAGCTTGAGCTGTGTCCAGAATAAAAAAATCACTGACAATCTGGTGGTTATATCTTTATCTGGTGAAATTTTATATTTGACTTGCGTAGTATTTAACATAATTTTCTATCAAAAAGTAATTTAGTTAGTTTCATTTCTTATTGGATTAAAGAAATACATTTATAATAAAATATTGCTTTGTAAAGCAAAAATGTAAATCTTAATTTTCTTGAAAATTTCCTTGAAAACTGGAAAAGTCAAAAAAAATTTATTATCTATGAGTTTCTGTGTTAGTTGATATGCAATAAGTAACTTATGATTTCATAATGCCATATTAAATTTTTGAAATACATCATATTTAAAAGTAATATAAATTCTGCATCTATCTTTTTAAAGTAGAGAAAAATAAATCTTGCTAATTATTTTCCTTCTCTCTCTTTTTTTTTAAATATAATATTTATTTTCAGGTTTGCCGGGTACACCATCCATTCATGAATGGTTGTCAAGAGTAAGACAAAATTTTATTTCTTCTTACGTAAATGAAAGTGTATGAAAGTTATTAAGAGTCAGAACTCCCGTGGCAGAATCACGGAGACATTGTCGCAAAACAGTAGTACAGAGTTCTTGCAGAAAGAATTTTCTTTTTGAAAGTAAAAAAAAAAAAACTTTTCAACAGAAGTTAACACCTCATGCATTAAGATAATCATTTTTTTGACGTGCTCAATTTACGTTGATAGTATCGTAGGAGGTTCATATATAATAATTCATAAATATATATATGTAATTATAAATTGTATCTTTTATATAAAATCGTTAAGCTGAAAGGTTCTGTTTTTAAATCATTGGCAATAGAAACTTAGTATTTTCATTTAAACATTACATATTGTATTGGGGCTAATTTCTAAATGTGTTTTAAAAATAAATATAAAATGATAATCTGTGTTTCAATGATGTATTTAGAAATATAATTTTATAAATGAAATGAAAACTTTGTTAATGTTTATTGTATAAATAAGTATAGAAAAATATGTCTTTAAAGTAGAAAATAATTAAGAAACTGAAGATATGCATGTTTTAGAAATCTAGCTAGTTGTTGATTAAATTTGTACTTATACATATTTTTTATGTTAAGTTGAAACTTTAGCATATTGTATTGGGGGTAATTTTTAAATGTGTTTTAAAAATATGGAATGATAATGTGTATTTCAATGATGTATTATTTAGAAATATAATTTTATAAATAAAATGAAAACTTTGTTAATGTTTATTGATAAGTAATAAGTATAGAAATATATTATGTCTTTAAAGTGGAAAATAATTAAGAAACTGAAGATATGTAAATCTAGCTAGTTATTGATTAAATTTGTACTTAAACATATTTTTTATGTCGAGTTTAAACTTTAAATTTATTCACTTCTTTCTACGACGACACATATACTGTAGTTCCTAGTATATGGTGTTTTTTTTAAAAATGTACAGGTAAATAATGTTTGTCTGAAATTTTTAGTCTGCTAAAAGTAGAAATTTATGAAGAGTTGAAATTTTTAACACTTTCTTGCTGTAGATTGTCTTTTAATGTAAACATATTTTAATTTTAAAAGTATAATTTTTATCTGAATGAGAAAATTTGCTTAGGTTCAGCTGTCTGTAAGTTTATAAATGTCCTTAGAGCAAAAGAAATTTATTCCAAATTCTCGGTTATTAAGGATTTCATATTTTTTTATATTAAAATAAAGTATTTTTCCCTTTGATTTAATGGGTTAATTTACCTATCTATATATATATATATTTATCTTACACGGCAACAAAAAAAAGCCTCATCACAACTCCCCGAATGGCAACGCTCAAAAATCGGCCAATGATTGCCGCTAAAAATGTCACATGCCAAATCTAGGTGAGGTGGCTCAACATATATCGCTTTTAAAAACGGAAACTAAAATGACCAGAGAGAGCATTCTCACCAAAAGTAATCTCTTCCGAATATCAGCTGCGGCAATCTCATACTATTAAGCTAGGCAGAAGTGAGTAGTCTTTATCGATAGATCTCTATTTTAGTATTTTGTCGAAAGCGCTTTTTTCACTAATTTATATATTACGAATTTATTTGACGATTTTTGATTTATATCACGAATTTATTTGTTTTATTATTGTTATTAGTTATTCATTGAAAAATGAGTCTCAGTCGTGCTGTTACGCTTTTAAAGTGTAATCAAATGAAGCGTGCTCGAAGATTGGAAGAGAGCATTGATGACAGCTATGAAAGATGTAGTGGTGAAAGAATGCGTAGACGACGTGCTGCCTTTCAAGATTTAACTGTTGATGTTGTCAAACACAACATCGGTTCCATGACCGAAATTTCCAGCTTTTGTGCTGCTCACTTCTGGGCAGAAGAAAAAAATTCCTCTGGGAAATATAACAAATGCTGCCATGATGGAAAAATCAAGTTGGAAGATTTAACTATCATTCCTGATTTGTTTAAACATTTACTCTGTGACAATTCCATCGAGGCCAAAAACAATAGGGATCACATCGCTGAATATAATGCTGATCTTGCATCATTTGGAGCACAGATAAAGCCACCTTCTGGAGACCATATTGTTTCCGCATTCACGGTCAGATTTATCACATGGTTTCTCCGCTGTATGCAAATGATAGTAACAAAGCTGGATGTAGGCAATTGTATATTTTCGGTTCCAGCGAAGCTACCGACAGACGCATGGATAATGACAGTGGATGTTTACGGTCTGTGATGGAGCAGTTAGATTATTTATCAAAACAAATAAATCCTTTTGTTGCATCATATCATCGAATGCATAAATTAATCCAATCAAATCCTACAACAGAAGTCAAGTTGGTTTTCATGGAAGATCCCAATTCTGATTTGAGGCGATACAATGCTCCAACTTCAAAAACTGAGGTAGCAGCAATATTTGTAAGAAAAAATGGAGAACCTCCATCTAATTGAGATTTGTGCATCTATCCAGTTGGAGATGTGTGTGAAACCATTTCTCCTATGAATCATTGTACAGATCCAATGGTTTATCCTCTACTTTTTCCTAGGGGAGAGAGTGGTTGGCATCGTGGAAGAGCGCCGCACTGCCAAACGTAACAGAGTTACTCAGCTACAATACTATGCCTACAGATTTGCAATTAGACACAGTTTCAGTCTTCACTGTAATGGGAAACTTTTTCAGCAGTTTGTTGTTGATGCATGTGTCAAAACTGAAGGATCGAGATTGAACTATTTGCGAATTAATCAAACGAATTTAAGAATAGAATTGTACCAAGGTCTGTTGGACGCTCTTCAAAATGAGGCATACTCAAATCACAAGAAGCTGGGAAAGTTGATAATATTACCTTCCACTTTTCAAGGATCTCTTCGCTCCGTGCAACAAAATTACCAGGATGCAATAGCAATTGTGAGAAAATTTGGTAGGCCAGATCTTTTCATAACTTTTACATGCAATCCGGCATGGCCTGAAATTTTGAGTGCATTACAGGGTTGCCAGCGTCCTGAACATAGACCTGATATTGTTGTTACAGGGTTCCCACGGTACTTGAAAGTCCTTGAATTTGGTTGAAAAAAATCAGGGCCCCAGAAAGTCCTTGAATTCTGCCATAGGGTACTTGAAAAGTACTTGATTTTTTAGAAATTAAAATACTACTAATTTTTCTTGCAAAAAAGTAATGAAAAAAAAAAATAAATTCAAAGGAAAATTATAGAAATTCTAATTATGCAATTTTTAATGCTTGAAGTGAAAAGGGCTTAAAGAAGATGCAAAACTTTTCTCTCCTAGATTTTTCAGACCAGATTGTTGTTCATATCTCTGATGTTTTGAAAGCTGAAATTTCTAGCAAATTTTAGGTTTTTTAGTCATAGTTTTGCGAATGATATATAGGGTTTAATTGATTTAGAAACATGTTTAATGTGTTGACTTCATTATTACGACAGGTTAATATTGTTGTCCTATTTGTTCTTTTAATTTATGTAAGAAGGATAATTAATTTTGTATCATTTACAATCAAATTTTTACATTCAGTTTTTACTGCTAATAAATAAAGTTTAGTCCTACAGGTTTCATTGATTATGAATAAACATCGTGATTCACATTAAACTGATTCTTGATTTATGGATCAGAAATTCACATAAAATGTTCTACGAATTGTGGTTTAACTGAAAGTGATCAATGAATCACATATCCAATATTACTTTAAAGTGATTTGCAAATTACTCATCAGGATTTGTATTAAGGTATTTTATACATCACATCATGATTCGCATTAAAGTTATTTATCAATTATGCCTCACGATTCTTATTCTAGTAGTTTACAAATCACGCATTGCGATTCACAAAAGAGAGATTTAAGATTACATATCTGTCCTATATTAAGCACCTTTCAAAACACAAATTGCAATTTGTGAAAATTAGGCATTCACAAAATTTACATTTTATGGATATATTTTAAAGAAAATAAATCTTGGAAAGTCTTAGTTATCTGTAAAATATTGTTCTACAATAGATTTTTGTTCAAAATACATTACTGATATTCTTAAGTAAGAACATAGAAAATTTGATATTAAAATTGAAACAGATATGTTAAATAGATATATTTTGATAATTTATCTAATTATATACATTTCCTGTAACCTAAAATTTGATCTAACATATTAAAAAAAGTATTTATATTTTAAAAACCGTGCAATTACACAAACTTTATCAATTATTTACTATGCTTGTTTAATGTAATATGCATTGCTCATTCATTCAGTTTCATTAATTCTAATTCGTTTGTCATGAAAAGTTTCACTGATGCTAGTTTTAAATGTTGGCTAGTATCCTGTGTCAATTGGATTTTTTTTTTTTTGGTCAATTGGAATTTTTTAAGGTAATTTGAAACAGCAATGTAACTATCAATCATTCGTATTATTAGCTGATGAATTTAAAAAAATTTTTTGTTGTTGTCAAATAAGCATTATGATTTAAAAATATACAATTTCTGCTTCTACGTAATTGTAAAATCTGGTTGACATGTACTTTAGTGTATAACAATAATATCGAATAGGTCCTTGAAATATTTGATTTTAGGTCCTTGAAAGTCATTGAAAAGTCCTTGAAATTTTTTTAAAAGATTGAGTGGGAACCCTGTGTTAGAGTCTTCAAAATCAAATTGACAAATTTGTGAGTGCTGAATTGCCAGATAGAACTCTTAACCCTGGACTTTTTGAAATTGTTTCCAAGTGCATGATCCATGGTCCCTGTGGCACTCTGAATCAAAATTCACCGTGTATGAGAGATGGTTTGTGTACCAAGAGTTTTGCAAAAGATTTTAAAGAGACAACCCAAGAAAATATTGATGGTTATCCTGTCTACAGAAGAAGTATTATTGAGCCTATCAAAATAGGAAAATTTGAAATTGATAATCGATGGGTTGTTCCTTATAACCCTTAGTTGTCGAAAAAATTTAATGGCCACTTAAATGTTGAGATTTGTGCATCAGTTAAAAGTG